ATGACACTCGACTGTTTTGCGTGTTTGCTGACGCTTTGACACCGAAAAAGGGGGATTCGTGTCACCATTCACTTGCTCGGGGATATGGTCATGTCCATCTCAAAAAGTGATCTCCCAAAGAACTCGACTGTTTGAATCTTGCATCGGACTTTGCCAGACGCATTCTCGTATTCAACGTCGAGCCCGGGTGGAGTTGCCAAACTCTTTCTCCAACCGCCCTGACTTCGCAAAAACATGGTCGTCGCAGCCTTTTGGAGGTCCAAGTCTGTCAACTCGGCCGCTTCATCGATTGAAGACCGTTGAATGAATCTTGACCAGTCCATTATGACACACCACGGCGTGGGGACCGAGCTGCCGTAGCTTGCTGCACAGATCTTTCCCCAGGAAACCGCAACAGTCCCGAATTCTTTGAAGTGAAAGACAATGACTCCGAAGAGCGCCAACTGGTCCACCAGGAGTGGAGAGTCGAGTCCATATGAGCGTCTCGGCCAGTCTGACAACAACATTGAAGGGGCATATGCCCACCCTTCTTTGAGCTGAAGAGTCTGAGGGTACGAGCTGGACGAGCTGAGGGCAAGCTGCTTGTCAAATTTGATCCTTATACCTGGTGTGAATACACGCAGTGATCCTTGTGGCGTTGGTAAATCCTTAGACTGTAACGGAGGTTGAAAAGAGAGACGTGCAGTAGCAAAGTAGGCTTCGGACAAATCATAGGCATACGTAGCTGAGACTGTGGTTCCGAGTTGCTGTCAGTGTGGGCAAGGATATATCTGGTCTTGGCGAATTAATAACTCACTCCCACCGAACCCGGTATCAAGGGGTATGTGTCCCTTTTGGTCGACTGGTGTGATTTTCTGAAGTGGTAGCCGGCTGCGGTAAAATGTATTATTCCTAATGTCGATCTCCCTGAGAATGATGGCAGGGTGGCTAGTCAAGTCTTGTCGGTAAACACAGTTCAAGATACCCAAGTACCGAATCTTGCGGTCCGGATGTCGAGACTTCAATGGACAAAGGAAGAGTCCCACGTCAACAGCTTTTGACGACGGTGATAGTTCGTAAGACGATGGTGGAGCGCCGGGCCAAGTCGGACCGTCCTGTAAAGACTGTTCGATCTCTGAAGAGGCAAAGCATCGAGGTGAGTCTGCAAGGAGAAGATTACATGCTTGGTCCAGGTGATTGTCAAAGGCCAGAATGGATTGGTCGCTCGTTGCCTTCATAATCTCTTCTTGAAGACGGAAAAAGGCTCGACGACCCTCGCCGTATAACAATGGCATGTGAACTCCAAACAATCCCATCGGCGAATATGCTTCGTCCTCAGCTCGTGTTGTTGATCGATTCGCGGCCCACGAGAGACGTTGGGCAACGCTGATAGCTCTCAAATGTTGATCGAGGGAAAATATTGATACTTGGGGATTCTTTTGTCGTTCTTCCTCGGACACATACCACAATAAAATCTCAAGCGGAATATTGGTGCATTTCCTTAGACGTTTGGCCAAGCTAGGTGTGCGTAGGTTGCTGATTGAGTGTGGTTGTCTGCTCCCAATCAAATTCCACTGGCAGTCGTAGAAACGAACGTCTCGAGGTGCAATCAATTCCTGAAGAGTCCAACCCCGTGTAAACCAACGGCTTTCCTCGAAGGGTTTGGAGGGTCTGTCTTCGGATTCGGGTATGTTTACATCCGAGAGATATGCATAACACCTGTCTGAATAGTGATACCACTGAAACATGGAGTTGATGGCTTCGGACAATTCTGCGCTGCTGGATTTGTCGATGCAACAAGTATCGATCCAGATGTAGTTGAAGCCATCTTTGGCCGCCTGTTCACAGCTTTCTTTGACTTTTTCAAATCCTTTTTTGTGTGTTGGAAGGGGCTTTTGTTGATCAAAGATGTCGTCAAACAGAACCTCGTCTTCGTCCCAGGTGTGAGAAAGAATGGCGTACTGCGTGGATGTGTCGGGAAGATTTGGTAAAGTCTCCAATCTCAAAGTTTCCGTATTAAGAAGGCGCATCTTTTTTCCCTGGAGAATAAAAATGAGATGTCAGATGATCCGTCAGATCTTGATGGGAGCCAAGGAGCGGTAAAGGAAGCCACAGTTGGGACGGTGGATGCCAAGGTGGATTGATTCGGATATTAGCATTCAATGCAACAAGCCAATTCAGACAAAAGATAATGACACATGATTGGTCAGAATTTCGGCCTTTTCGGACTCTTTGATCTTTACTGTCATCCAATTTTCGAGAAATAGAACTCATTCTGAACAAAAAAAATAAATAAAACTTGAACAAAAAGTCCACCATGTCACGCAAACTCGCACCAGCAATGAGTAATAATAAGGATATCAACTCGGGTTTACCAGACTTGTCTCCGATTCTCAATGATCTTCCCCCGGCAGTCCGAGCACAGAGCTGCGTCACTTGTCGAGCAAGGTATGTACATGTACATGCAGTATACTTACTGTACCATATGCAAATCCACCAGAAATGACACACTAAACCAAATTACGATTAGAAAAGTAAAATGTGACAAGGCTTCGCCCTGCTCAAACTGCAAACGATATGGCATCGCCTGCATGCTTCCACCACACAGAACACCTCGATGGGCGAGACGAGCCACTGCGACTGGGAGTCCGAGTCATCCACCTCAGATATCAAAGAAGCCTTCAAGTTCGAGAAGATCCGAATCGAGCCATGTTCTGGAACGTCTGGAAAAGCTGGAGAAACTGGTCAAAGAACTTGGCGGTGAAGCGCAGCTTGGTCAGATTTCTCTCGAGACGGATGAGTCCTTCCAGAATGAACAAGATGACCAGGACCAGGACTCGGATCACAGCTCAGACTCTGATCTAGATGATGTGTTTCGGCATGCAAGTCACGCTTCCGCTCAGGTGTCAATCCCACGACACACAGTGTTCCTTGGCCACGGTGTTGGTTTGGCAGGGACATCGACCGAACATCTTCATCCCTCGCCAGCTCAAGTTCCCTATCTCCTCAAAGTTTTCAAAGAAAATGTCAATATTTTGTTACAAACAGTTCACATCCCGACCGTCACGCAATTAATCCAACAGACCAGCAAGGATAAATCAAGCAGTCGATCTCCTGCCCAGGAAACCTTGATGTTTGCCATTTACTTTGCTGCCGTTACGTCTCTGGAGGATACCGATGTGAGATATTCTGGTTCCTAAACCTCAATTCAGTCACAGATGCCTGACTATTAGTTATTCTAGGTCTCCCAAAATCTGGGCTCGTCCAAGGACGAGCTTAGTCGTGCCTATCGCGCTGGGTTTGAATATGCCCTCGCAAAGACCAACTTCCTCGGCTCACCAAGCTTGATGATTGTTCAGGCCCTCTCCATATTTCTCTCCCTCGTCCGGTGCAATGACAGTTCCAGATTTGTCTGGATGATGACGGGCCTCGCCATTCGAATGGCTCAATCCTTGGGACTTCACCGTGAGGCCACTAAAATGAAGCACCTATCGCCGTACGATCTCGAGATACGACGAAGGGTCTGGTGGAGTCTCTGTTTCCTCGATGTCAGAACTTCTGAAGACCAAGGAACAGAACTCACCATCTCTCACGGCAGCTTTGACACCAGACTGCCCCTAAACATCAACGACACAGACATCGACCCCAAGATGACTGAACCTCCGATAGAGCGACAAGGCTTGACGGACATGAGCCATGCCCTATACTGCTTTGAGGTTGCAGCTTTGGCGCAAAAGATGATGAAACCTTCGCTCGACAACCCGCAAGCCATGGATACCATGTTGGATGATCTCTATTCCACGTTTCAACAACGGTGTCTCAAGCACCATGTAATAACCACTGCACAACCTGACGCGAGGTACTGGATTGGCATCACAGTTTCTCGTCTCATAGTGGCAAAGACGCGGCTTATCCTACATTTTCCAGCTCTCCTCGCCTCCCCAGACAAACAGCTCGATATGCCACCCAAAGTCCGAGACAGGTTATTCGTGTCAGCTATTGAAATTGCAGAGCTGATTCATACACTCAATACTCAACAAGATATCGGTGGATGGAGATGGATATGTCACTCATATACTCACTGGCACGCCATTATTTTTCTGTTGCTGGAAACAACGCAACGACAGTGGTCACCCACTGTAGAGCGCGCCTGGTCAGCCCTACACAGCGAATGGTTGGTACCTAGTAAGTCCAAGCTGGAAAGGGGACCAAGGTTCTGGACGCCATTGCAGAGATTGATCACTCAAGCACGGAGACACCGAGAAGAAGAGATTCAACGACTTGGAAAAGACACGGCAGCTGCCAGGGCTTTAGAGTTGGAAGATGTGAGATCAATGCCATTTGCCGGCGACGGCCTGTTCCCAGATCTGATGGGAGGGAATGCAAGAGGTCGATGGCGAGCGCTGGTAGGGTTGGATCCTAACGAGCTTCTACAACCTCCTTCACTCACCATTGACCATGTTGCATTACAAACTCCAGACTCAATCCTCACGGACATGAGCAACACCACCACTCCTCTCAGCTTTCCCTCTCCACCACCAATGTTTGGTTCCTCTTCAATTCCCACTCCCTTCCTCACCACACCATTATTTGCCCCTCCTATCTCAACATTATCAAGAACAAATCTCAACTTTAACCCTACAGATACAAACACAGGATTCGCCTCCTGGTTCAACACCAATAACCCAGCTCTCGTCAGTGAATGTACCTCTCCAAGCGAGCTGTACTCTCCAAACATGGAAATGGAAGATACAGTAGACTGGTTTGCATGGTTAGGTTCAGCAGGAATGATGGAACATCAAGGGGGAGTGCCAGATCAGGAATGATAGCGCATATAGATAGATGGGGAGGGATCACCTAGTAGATAGTAAATCCTCAATTGCATATAAGCAAACGCCATCAAACTCACCATAATCACAACTTTCTCTTTTCCGCTAGCAAAAAAAAAACCCCCCACTGCCGAGTCGTTCCCCTTCCTGCCCCCAATCCCTTTATCAGTCTCAGTTCTGGGACCGAATTTTGTCCTCGTAGTGCAGTGGTTAACACGCCCGGTGCTTATTCCTTCCATCTTGATTGATAGCAAAGATCCCCGGGAGACGCCATGTTCGATTCTGGCCGAGGACATTTTTTTTCTTTTACCTCCCCCTCCCAAAAAAATGGAGCAAAAAACCAACTTGCCCCAAAACCCATGCAAGAAGAGCTTTCTTCCCAGGCAGCATAACAAAATAAAATAAAATAAGAAAACTCATGGTTTTTTGCGGTCATCAAGGCCATCCATCCATCCTTCACCACTGTAAGTAACTATTGCCTTCAAACCCAACTCCCAGAATATATCTCCATGTGGAATATAGCTACAAATATCTCAATATACAACTCCAATTAAAATCAACCAGCACAACTTCTAGGTACGCCTAGCTATCAATCCTTATTTAATGAAGCAATCAACCAGCACTAGCCCTACTCCCATACAACTCCTCAGCAGCCTGCTTACTCACAGGTTTATTCCTATGAGCTTCAAGAGTGTCTTTTCCTCCCATGTCTTCCAACACTTGTTTACTGTTTTCTTTGGACTTTTCGCTTGTATCTAGGATATCAGAATCATCAGTAAGAGTTTGCAGAATCTCTATCAATGATGTTGTTAGATACTCACTCGGATTGGACAGGTTAGCTTCATGCCCTCTAATTTGATTCCCAACATTTTCTTTGCCTTCTGTCAGTTCTTGCATGTCGTTTGAGAGGACGGATTTGGCGCCTGCTGAGGTGAAGGTGTTGGATGCCATGATGATCTGTCTGTGTATTTCTGTATATGTCTTTGTAGTCTGTTTGTGTAGGTATTTGTGTGTCTGTATAAGTTGTGCAGAATGCCGATGCAGATGATCAAGATAAAACCAGGTTTTATACCCCAATCCCTTTCTCATCCAGAACACCCCTCCATAAATGACGTCTTCACTTCCCTCGTCTGCAACCCAGCTTAAATCATTTCCTTGTTCTTTCAATCACAAACGCATTTGTTGTGCATCCGTAACTAATGTCGTCATCAATTCTTGTCAACAAATCAAATCACATTTTCACATACATGTTGTTAGAGTTACTATATATACCCAAGCCTGCCACTAACTAAATAGCAACTATAAATCGCGTATCACACAGAGAGCTTGGCTCAGTTGGAAGAGCGCAGGTCTCATATTTCAAAATATGATCTGGTTTTTCTTTTCTCTTTCTTCTTACTTATATTTTTCTTTTGTATATATATATATATAGTTATATATTTGGGAACATCTTTTATATAATCATTCAGCAGAGCATTTGTCCTTTGACAACGTTCGGACATTGCAGTGTATATATACCCAACTCCCACCAAAACTAACAACCGACTATTGGAGCACATCACAGGGAGCTTGGCTCAGTTGGAAGAGCGCAGGTCTCATATTTAGATATGATCTAGTTTGACGCTAGAAGTAATCCTGAGGTCGTGAGTTCGAGCCTCACAGTTCCCATTTCCTTTTGTGATTTTTTAATGAATATTTTTTAGTAATCTTTTGTTGTTGTGGATCCGCCAAATCCCCTTTGCATCTATAAACAATAGATTTTATAAGTAATATCAATCTACTGAACTCAATTTTTCAAGTCGTCTTGTCAGTTGGGAATTGGAATCAAAAACACCATGGAGCATTAACACTCCCGAGTAAAGAGACTGTCGGGTGTGTTGGTTGGTGGCTGGTGCATGGCTTCTAAGCAGCCATACTTTTGACACAACCACCAGCTTTTTTCAAGCATTTCGTCGTCAATAGCTGGCGATCGATTGAAATAGTGAGAGAAATTGACACATTTATCCAGAACTGAGCAAAAAAGAGAACAGTTATTATACTTATGGGTATATTCAACTATCTTGGTATCAAAAGGTATCATTATCTAAACATCACGCTCGCACAAATTAAAAAAAACCAATCATATACTAATTACTTTGTTGTTGGAGCTTCTCCACAGCGTCAGGATCCAACCAACGTCGACAAATAACCCAAGCCAAATTCATCCAACCTCCTCTCGCCTTCACGCCTGCTTCGTTTACTTCCCCTATGGTCCAGCCGTAGTGGCGGTTTCCTCTTATTGTTGTCATCATCATTAATGCACTTAAGCATGCTTCTCATCATCCTTGATGCTGTGGGGAGCGCTGCTAGAGGCAATACCGTTGACAACATCGTTGACGTGGCGAGAGAGCTCAACATAGTCGTAAGCGAACTCGCCGAGCTCAGCATCATCGAGACCAAGCTCCTCAACCTCAGGGCTAACGCGAAGGGAAAGACCGGGGATGAGGTTCATGAGGAAGAGGATGATGCAGGTCAGGACGAAAGAGTAACCGAAACCGGCAGCAGAGTCGGCAAGCTGGTAAGCAAGCTGGATGTAGTTCTGGTTAACCCAGCCACCAGCGATGGCTAGGGTGGGATCGGAAGCGGCACCACCGTCGAGAGCGGCAATCCAGTCACTGTAAGCCGATTTTGTTAGCAAAAGTCCATTTCAAATTCAAGGACGACCAAAACTTACGCAGCAAAGATACCGGTGAGAAGGTTACCAATGATACCACCAACACCGTGCTCAGCGAACACATCGAGGGGCTCGTCAATGCCAATGAGGAACTTGAGCTTGGTGGCAAAGTTGCAGCCGATACCACCGACGACACCGAAGACGACGGCCGACCACGGAGGAACATAGCCGGCAGCGGGAGTAATGGCGACGAGACCAGCAATGACACCGGAGCAGAAACCAACAGTGGACCACTTGCGCTCGAGGCGGTAATCAAGAAGGCACCAGGTGAAGCCACCGACGCAGGCAGAGATCTGAGTGACAACGCAGGCCATGACGGCACGGGTGTTGGCAGCGAGGGCGGAACCACCATTGAAGCCGAACCAGCCAACCCAGAGGAAGACAGTTCCGAGAACGACGTGGGTGACGTTGTGGGGGCGGTAGGGGAGACCGTTAACCTTGTTGTAGCCAGTGCGCTTTCCGAGCATCAAGGAGTAGGCAAGAGCGGCAGCACCGGAGCTGATGTGGACGGGAGTACCACCGGCGAAATCGAGACCACCCATCTTGAAAGACCAGCCATTGGCGTTCCAGGTCCAGTATGCGATCGGGTCATAGACAATGGTAGCCCAGATGAAGATGAAAACGATGGCGGGAAGCATGCGACCACGGTCAGCAGCAGCGCCAATGGCGAGTGCGGGACTGAAGAGCAAAAAAGTTAGCAAGTCTTTTTCTTTTGCGAGGAGATACCATTGGTACTAACGTGATGGCAGCGAACATGCCCTGGTAAAGGCAGAAAAGGATATCAGGGATCTTGGAGCTGCCGACGCTGGGCTGGCCGAGGACCTTCATGAGACCAAAGTTGGAAAGATCACCAATGAAGGCGCTTCCGGTGTGGGAGAAGGCCAAAGAGTAACCCCAGAAGAACCATTGGAAGCCCACGACGGAAATGGATATGAGGGCCAACCAGATCAGGGCCAATGCAGACTTTCGACGAGCAAGACCGCTGTAGAAGAAACCGACACCGGGAATCATGAGCAACACGAGGGCCGAGGATGTGAGGATCCATGCAAAGTCGCCGGCAGCATAAGGAGCGTTGATATCGACGGTCAAGGGGTCGCCGCCCTGGTTGGCGACGCCCAAGACGCCCGTGTACTCTTCGACGGGACCGGACGACATTGTTGTGAAGAATGTTGATTGTTCGCGTTGATTCTGAGAACAGAAAGGAAAAAAGGGTGTGATGGACAGGGCAAGGGACCAAATATATTATTCCCCGTCTCTCTGCCGTCCCGCTTCCTCGAAGGAATACGGAAGTACACGGTACCGTTACTTCGATAAGACCATCCTCGTCATTATCAGAACCGGGCATGCCTCCATTCCTTTCCGGGAGACCTTCTTTCTTTGCCAAGATGTGTGTTCAATGGAAGGGTGGGTCACCAAAGATAAGGGATTCTGGGCGCCAGGATGCATGTGGTGGGGGTGCCACGCATTGGTACCGAACAAGTTTCCGTGTTGATCCGGACATCGACGAGGAGGAGTCTGGAGGACGCGGAGGAGAGGGCTGTCAAAACACTTGGCTTCGTGGAAACATTTGAAGATCTGGAGGTTGGTTGTCGATCCAAGTGGAGGAAATATTGGAAATCCTATCATTCTCCCGAACCGAACAACCGGTGAAAAAAGATTGTTTTGCAAAATTGCAAGACGCAAAGGTGATTGCCGGATGGAGGGGAGGAGGAGGAGTGGGACTGAAGAAGGAGCCAATTACATGTTGCATATTCCCCTTGACTCTTTCGGTTGCACTGTTTCACAACATCCATCTTGGGGCTGAGAAGTTGTGTGACGGGAAGAGAAAAAGAGGATTGGAAATTCGTGTTCCAGCTGTTGCCTTTTTTTTCCACAAACGAGACATCATCCCGAAATAAATCAATGATTTTCGTAGAGAAGAAGTTAATAAAATGCACTTTTGTTGGTCCAACTTTCCCCAGACTTTTTTTCCTCCTTTCCGTCGCCGTCCCGTAAGGCGTAAGTGCGCAAGCTCCCGCTGCGGTCACTCATATCACTGCAGGGCACAAGCTGAATATTTGATGTTGCCATGCAGGGTAGCATGCATGCATTCATCACAGTACGGATGTCGCGTTGGGTCAGGGTCCAAATTAATTAATTATACCAAACGCTCGGGGACGTTGTTTGTAAGAAATTTGGCGAAATAGCCTGAATAATCTGCAAGCATCTGTCAACCTGCATCTCGGACCTGAACACTGTCTGTCAAGCATGTCTTCGTTTTCGACCTCGGGTGATCGACTCTCATCAACTACCGACCGTGAGGCGTAGAAAAAAGACCCTGATCAAAATCATAATTGCCGTGCCGTAAACTCCCGAACCTCGCTTTGTTTGTTCTATTGAAAAAAATGCCTATCTTGGGCAATGGGCAACGGCAAAAAAAATAAACGTTTTCGAGAAAAAAGATTCCATGCCTTGAACATGCTGACCGCCACAAACGGTCGACCGAAACATATCTTGGCATCCGTCCGTCTTCAATAGTCAAAGAGAAGATCGATCGATCAAGAAAAAAGACGAGATAACAAGCCATAAAGTAAATAGGGAAA